GCTCTTCGAAAAATGATTAACTACTGAGCAGTAATACAGGTGAGAAATGATGTCTTACACTGACAGTTTTCCTGTTAGGATTCGGATGGAGTGATTGCAAGGTTTGGATCTAAAGAACTACTCTTTTATTTAGTTATTTATTTATAACAAGAATTGCCTCTTATGGCTTTGGACCTTCAGTCTTAAAAGGCGTCCAAATATTTTTAAGTAGTGCCATTGAAGTCAGTGTTTAAAATTAATTGCCTTGCTTAATCAATCTGAAAATTAAATGTCTTGTATTTGGAGAAGTGAAAAGAACGTAAAGTGAAAGGTGAAAGGAATGGTAATGCACAGAATATATTTTCACCTATATTAGAAGACTTACAGTTATTTCACAGGCAAACTACAGTGTTAAATTTTATAATTTTTCACTCTTCAGGGTGGCCTGTAATCCTGTGAGGTACTAATAAGGCCCAATTTACACTGAATGTAGGCACTGCATTGCAAACATACACAGAGCATTGAAAATGCATGAAGTATCTGTAGTATCTTGCAGTTCTGCTCAAATATAATTATAAGGCTTATATTTAGTATTTATTCTAAAAATATTTTTTCTTTATAATCTTCTATGTAATTGGGTCATGCTTGAAGAGTTCTGTCTGCAGAGCCCTTCAGGCACCAAGTCTGTGAAGTAATATATGTTTCTATTACATGTCTATTAATCACAGTCTGCAACATCTTTTGTCTTTGTTTCATTGTAATGTAATACTAAGTATCATTAGACTGTGCAGTGGCCAACCAGGACTTCGTATTGTGCGTTGCTTTGGGAGAGCTTCTGGTGTTTGATGACCGAAGTTTAATAGTTAGGAAATGTGTCAACACATTGTATTCTCTACTTCCTTTAATTAAGTGAATCAAGTAGCCTAGTTTTTGATATTGATTCTTGATGGGTCTTGTACATCTGAACTAAAAAGAAAAGAAGGCAACAACAAGCCTGTTTTCCTTTGGAATAAGAAAATCCTGTAATAAGCAGATTTTTAGCTGTTGACACCGAAGGCGGGAGGGCCAAGGTGGGCCCTATATTAGGGGCGCCCTCTTGTGTCCATTTTACCTATACGTTAAGCTGTGAATTAAATTTAGGGCCAGGCATAGAAGTTTGTCAATACCTTAATGTAAGTCTTGTTTATATGCATACTTACTTTCAGGACGACTTTTTGCGTTTCACTCTTTGCTTCCCTTGATAGCTGATACTGACGTGCCTGTATGTGAAATGGGAACACTACCAGTGAGGCAGTGTCCTCAAAAAATAATGTAGTTCCATTTACAGTATTTCTGCAAAATCACCTGGTTTTGACATACCAGAGCATTTCCTTAGGATTAAAACTGAAGAATGTTGTGATCTTTTTTGTAGAGTATGTGGGAAATGCTCTCTTTTTCATGACAGTTGTCCTTGCCTTTTATCTGAGTTGAAATAAACTTATTAAAGAGTTATTTTCTTTTTTGTTTGGTACCTCTGTAATAAAGCCAGTGAAGCTTTCCTAAAGAGAATGGGTTGTATCTGCTCTTTGAGGTGAGTTACTGGGCCATGCTAGCTAGCCTCTAATCTGTTCCTTTCCAAAGGAAACCAAACGAGCAAATATCCTAACCTCTGTGTAACGAAAGGGAGACAAAGCAAGGACATTTGGTGGTTCAGAGATGTAGTTTAGCCCCCATTTCTCCATAGGATGGTAGATTGAGGGAGGTATGAGGAGAAAAAAGTGGGTTCTGAGATTGCATTGAGTTGCACACAATCCAGTTTCCACACTGGAAGTCCACACTAAACCTTTCTGTGAAGGTAATATGGACTAAAATGTGGAAAAGTCATCTGCATTCATCTTTACATTTCTCCTGTGGGCTGCACCACACACAAATATCAGAGGAGGTTATTGGCCAGCTGAAAATGTGGATTTAGCATGTCAAGGAGCAGGTTTATTAGGGGCTGTCTAGAAAGGACACAGGAAACTCTGCTTTCTGGATTGTCTACGAAAATATCTGTATGGTGGGGCCCATAACACCACATCTTTTGGTTGGTGTGACTAGATATTAGTGTTACAGAATGAACAGAAGTTTTTTCTAAGAGAGAACCTTAATGTGCCTTGTTGTAAGGCACATTTCAGGGGAGTATTCCTTATTTTTATGTGTGCTATAGTAGGTAATTCATCTTATGTGCTTGACACAGCAGTTGTAGATCTCCATCCTGCCATCTACTCCACAGAGTTTGCATGTGAGGTAGTGTGCTTATGTTTCTGAGAAATGGAAGGATTGCTTTACATTAGCTTCTTTTTGTACTCAGTGTAACATTTATTGGTGACGTTACTTGCCATCGGTCCAGACTGATGAGGTTAATGTGTTCCAAACCACCCTCACGTGTAGGCAGACAGGGAAATCTTTTCTAAGAAATGGTGTTACAGTTTGTGTGGATTTGAGCACAGCCGTAGTCTTCTGGATGTTAGAATAGTTGGGCCCCTTCTTGTCCTACTGCTGGAGAGGCAGAGGAGCTAGCAGTTCTCCATGGTGAAGAGGGATGGAGGGATGTAGGGTTAGCTTTCTGAGTTACAGAAATGGCCAGGCTGGCTAAGTTGTCGCTTGGCTTATGTTTCAAGTCATTTCTGTTAGATACAACCTGGTGGTATGGCTGGCTACGTTCTTCTTTTCCTCTCTTAACCAACAACTTATTAGAAATTGCTTCATCTGTT